GAGGATGTACCATGGGTCGCAGGAACGGATCAACGCCTGCGGCTGGAGCAAAAGAGCCCGGGACNTGGAAGGGAGCATGGCTTATGCATCACCCGGGACCTCGCTCGAAACAGACAGCATGCTCCATGCCCGAGGACCAACGGCGCGCACAGAGCGAAATGAAGTACATTAAAGCACGGAAGAAAAGGGTGTTCCCGCCCTGCCTTTGCAATGTCTGCCGTGGCTCCTACACTGAAAGCTGAATTTTACTTGTATATACGTAAAACGGGCATGTGGTTCCTGGTGTTCTTGTATAAAACCGTCCAGCAATATGATGAGAGGAACCGGTTATTCTGTGGTAGTGTCTTGCACCTGAAGCGTGCGACACAGGAGAAGTTACGCGTCATGGTTTCGGCGAGTCATATGTATTATGACGTTCATACCGTTTTTTTTCGCTGTATCTTTGGTTCGAAGCACGACACAAGTGGGCGAGAGTTTATGACTAATAGTTTCAAGAAGACGTCACGTTCTGATGGCGAGCACGAAGAATACTCTTTTCCTGTAGAAAATAACAGATGTTGTTGTTCTGAAGCTGCACACGCGAGACAGAGAAAAGCTGCCATGTTTCGCGCAGACTGCAATTTCGCAGGCGTGTACAGCAACAAACTACAGTTTCCTTCGCGTAAACGGTGGTTTACTCGCTAATTTACCGCCAATAGGTGGTGGTGGCCCTCCCATCGTGAAGAAAAATCGTGAAAAAAAGGAAGGTGCAAACAAAGGTTGGCGCTGAGGGGGATTGAACCCGCTACCTCTGGCACTGAATAACCACACATGGATTCCTTCTGTCAAACTTAAAGACAACGAAAGGACGCGTCATTCCAATACGCCTCTTCGTATTTTTTTCGCGCTTCGCACAAAACAATTATGACTCGTTCCCGGGTTGCCCTACTCATGGTCGCTGAGCCGACGTAAGTTACGAAGTTGGATTTCGAAGAAACCACACGGTCCATGCACAGCAACATGTCCAATAATTCTCCTCCAGAAAGATCCACGTTTCTGGGGGTAAAGACGTGGGTGTTCCTAAATCTAAAAGTACCGTCGACCCTCCTGTCTCTGAGCTCGTCTCCCTGGAGAGTTACATTGTTCTTGTGCCTCGATTTTTTTTCCGAGGTATTCTGAAAATCGTCCGATGGTTTTGTGATGGTGGCGTAGCGAAAGGTCGAAGGATATTCACGACTGGGCGTTTTGGACCCACCCCACACTTGCATCGTCGCCCGGTTCGCGTTCAGCATGCCCTCTATTCCGCTGCGCGTGCGCCAACAAACAGCGGTGCAATATTCATGTGGTACGTGTTGCTGCCTTTGTCATTAGAGTGAAATAAAGTTGGGGTTAGGAATGCATGTATGGTGTGTGTTGTTGTGGGCTTGCTCCTAGAACACTGCACAACTATGCGTACCTTTCGCTCGACAATCGAAAGGCCGAAGGATCCACAGGACGAACGCTTTCAGTGAAGTAAGAGGTAGCGGAAGAGCATGTAGAGTGCGAGCGAGAGGCAGCTGGCCCGCTGTACTTGCAAGCGGGTTCTGCGTGTGTCCATGGGTGTCGCAAGAGACCCAGCTTCCCAAACCCAGCTTCCCAAGCTCCGGCGCTACAGGCCCGGTGGTGGCTTCGACATGATGTAAAGTGGACGATTCAATGCCGACACTTCACCAAATTTGCGGCATGTAGAAGTCTTGGCCCGCCCACACTGGAAATCAAACCTTTAAGTCTCATCCTCTCCGTGGTGAGCTTGTTCTCGTTAGCCAAAGCTCGCTCGGCTCGTTGTGGCTTGCGAGTGCCTCAGAGATGGGGCCCGCGCAACAGGTGGACGAAGTTTGTCAGAACTACACACACTCGACGCAAACCTCGACGAGACTATTCGTATTTTTGAAGCTTGTACGGGATGTTTTCGATAAATGCACTTGTTAGATTTCTCCATGCTCGGTCTCCCCGGCTGTAACTTGTGTGCAGGGCCTATCCCCGAGGTGCTGGGAGCTCTGAGAAACCTGCGGGAGCTGTTGCTCAGCTCCAACCAGCTTACAGGTAACTTGATCATGTGAATTGAAAGGTCCTCGTTGGCTGCTAAAAATGTGTCTTGCCGACGCGTGCGTGAGACGCATGTTGGAGAAACAGTATCGTGGTTTAGATTTACGTCGAAAGTTTGTGGGAATCCACAACACGTGAACGTCGTGGATTCTGCGATCACACGCACCCACATAAGCGATTGTTCGCGGTCACTGGCTGTGGTTGAAGCCTTCGAAAATCGAACCGCACAGCTGCATCAATAGTCCGCTGCTCATAGCTCACTAAACTCACCGAACGTAGGCTCCTTCCTTAATTTGCGGACCGCAAATCCGCAGAATAGAGCAAAGGCTACCAATCCTAAAATGTACAGTTGTACGCTCGAGACGGTGTGCGGATGTATTGCGCGATGCAGACTTTGGAAGACCGAACAAGTCAAACGTTTCCTGGTTCGCCGAATAGGGGATTTCGTTTAACCTTCACCGTAGATAATGCCTTTCAAGTGCCTCTTGTATGCGCAGGACGTTCGGTATCACTTTTATTGCAGTCGTTTTTTTGCTTCGTTTGCCGTTCTCGGGAGCGTCGTCAACTACGTCCTCGGCCCGTACTGGTCTGGTAGGCTTGTTCGGTGACATTCATCCGATGTTTATGTTTCAGCTCGCAGCCATGTGTCCTAGGAGCGAGTTTTGTGTGCTTTTTTTCAGCAGTGTACTGGGGCAAAATCGTGTAGACGTCGGCAGCTTCGATTGGTTGGCAGGTCATACACACAGGCGCTAGACAAAGCCATGCACTGATGCCGGCAGATTGGAATTCGACGCTCAGTTGGTTGGCATGATGATAACGTTCATTAGTTACAGATCGCCCAGGTTCCTAAGCTCCAGCGGTGTAGGTCCTGTGGTGGGTTTAATTTGATGTAGAATGGTCCTCTAGCTGCCGGCAATTCGTCAAGACTGCGACCTCTTGAAGGGGCATCCCACCCACGCGTTGGTAGGAAAATGTTGCGCCAACGCCTTGCGGAGTACCAACCGAGGGCAAGATGCTTGAGTCCGTCAAGGGCTCTCCACGCGTTGGAGATGGGTCCTGCGAGCAGCTAATGGACATTTTCACCAACGGAATTGTTTTGTACCACTCACGCGTTCAAGCGAGTAAAACTTTTGTTCGGACGAGAAAGAGGGTCCCGTGGCGTCAAGAACGTCAAGCTTCTAGAAGCTTGATGGGCGTGGGCGACTTGGTGGTGTGGAAGGCAGGCTTAGACAGTAAAAATGAAATGGTATGGCCCCGCCTTTTAGCTGGAAACCGATTATTGCTCGGATAAGACTCCTTGAGCTCTGTGAGAGCTCCCAGCTGCTTGGTTATCGGCACAAAGCGCCCAACAGCAATACCAAAATTGAGAAAATGATGTGAGGAATCTTCAGGCGTATGCGGAATGTGTTCCGCCGACGCCGTGGGTGAGTCGGTGCTGTAGAAAATGCGCAGGCGAGGCACTCGTTCGGCAAGTCTCAGGACATCGATCTATTCCGCACCATTTCACTACGTATACCCTTTCTTCCACTACCATGCAGACGAGATTCCAGCGACTCTAGGACAGCTCGGCAACCTGCAACAGCTCGATCTCTCTTGGAACAAGCTCAGTGGTGAGTGGTTTCAAGTTGAAAACTTTTTGTCGTCCGGACGCGTGGGTGAGAGAGGCGTGTTGAAGCTATCGTGTACCGTCGTTCTGGAAAAGTGCAACATGTGTCTGTCGTAACTCACAGCTTAGCTGGTTTCCCCCGAGCTCAAGGTTTATCAGGGCTGCAAGATTTCCTAGCTCTGGCGGGATGGAACCTGCAGCGAACGAGTGCATCGAAGTTAGTGCGGGAGCGGTAATGAAATCCGCCGGGTTCTAGAACCCTTAATCACCCACGGGTGAGTCACTCAAATTTCAGAACATCACCTACTCACCCTTGCTTGTGGGCGAGTGTGTGTCGCACAGCTCTGCAATCTCGATGACATGGAAATGTTGTGTCTTTTTGCTGTGCTGCTTGAGCAGGATTCATCCCACAGGAGCTAGGAAACCTGAACCAGCTGCAGACCCTTTGGCTCTACTTCAACCAGCTCACTGGTAAGAATGTGTTTTAACAATGCCGCGTTTGTTAATGTAGAACACCTGCTAGCCTCACCCTCCCAGGGCGAAGATAGTTGTCCTAAAAACAGTCATTCGTTGAAACGGTGAATCGAAACTCACCACTCATTTAGCTGTGAAACTGACATGGGGGTCGCAAGAGCCCCAGCTACCCAAGGTCCGGCGGTATAGACCCTGTGATAAATTCGAAATGATGTAGAGTGGACAATTCAATGCCGCACCAAGGTTTCGGCTTCTAGAAGGTGAGTGCCCCCCCTGCACAGATGTGACTCATATCCTAAAAAGGAGATGTGCAGACCTCATCCTCCCTTGCTAGTGAACTTGTTTTAGTTCGGTCAGAGCTCGTTCGGCTCGCTGAGTACTCCCTGGAGCTCGGGGATGGGGTCTGTGCAACAGGTACTGTCAGAAAAACACCGTTCACTCGACGAGAGGTCGAACCTTCTACGAGGCCATGCATGTTTCAGAAGCTGAGCGGGACAAGCTGGTTTCGGAATTTCTTCGATTCTCTATTCGTGCTTCCCCTGCTTTAATCCGTGTTCAGGGCCCATTCCCGAGTCGCTGGGAGCTCTCAGCAACCTACGGGAGCTGTCTCTCTACTCCAACCGGCTTACAGGTAGCTAATACTGGCCGTGCATGAGAAGAACATTGAAGAAACAGTGTTGCGATTTTGGTTCATATTGAAATTTTATGGGAATCCATAACGTTTGTTCGGCGTGTCTAACTTAGCTGGCCGTAAATTGTCAGGCTCAGCATTCTCTTCAAATCTTGGGGACAATCTTGACAATTGTTTCACAAGACTCACTCAAAAGATCGGTGTTGTAAAGAAATGACGTGGCAGCGCCGAGAAGGCGTGTGCAGTGTGTCGTACGGCTATGTCGTGCTAGTGCAGCTAATTCTGCGGCTCATGCTGGGTGTGTGGGGCTCTCTCGTAACCGCTCATCTCCCGAAAGCTGACCTGTTGACAACGGGAAACTGCCATTTGTGGCATGAACTGTACCGCGAAAGAAGCAGGAAATTTCATTTTTCGGCGGGAAAAGGCAGCTCGTCGAGCATCACAGCACCGCTTATGCGGTGTGTTGTGTGGCTATGAGGCTGTACGGGGTTGCTGCAGCTTTTCTTGCTCACGCTGCTCTCTCTTCTCTTGAGCTCCACAAATGTTGAATGATGAACACTGGCCAATAGAGGCACGGGTCTTCTTGATCTCGTATCGCGGAGGATACAAAACATTTAATGTATGCCCCATCGAAGTAGAAGAAGGCCCACCGAGCATCAATTATTACCCACGAACACTCGACACGTCAGCACCGAAGGTGTACGCGGCGTGCTGTACGACTGAGGTGTTGCGGCAACTGTGCCTGGTCCCCTTGCTCTTTACCTCCCACAGTCGCTCTTTCAAAGTTTCGGCGATGTGCTCATACACTTGCCCACACCCGCCCGGGTAAGCTGCGTGGGCGGTGGCATTTCAATGACCCAACCAATCAAAGCGAAAGCGACAATTCTGGACGGAAGAGAGGAAAGGCAAAAACACGAAAGTTCTTAACGGGGCAGTGGAATTTGTCAGAGCTCTCTTTAGGCGCACCAGGAAACGCCTGCCTATTAATAGTTAGGCTTTCCAAATTCAATCCGTGTACCACCGTGCCAAAGCGTCCCCAATGTTGGCCCTTGTGATAAGCTGCAGATTTTGCGGTCCGCAACTTTCGAATCGAGCCCTTTTTCGTGGAGTTCGGTGAGCTGCGAGCAGGGTTTTGGATGCTGCGGTGCGGTCCGATGTTCGATCGCTTCAAGCACCTATTGTTTTGTATAGATCTACAGGCAAGAGACCCTCGACCTTTCTACCTGCTTAAGTTGGCGACAAGTACAAAGAAATGCTGAATTCCGCGGCCACACACGGTCACGGTGCGGGTGAAGCGTTCTTATATCGAACCGCACAGCGGCATCGGAAGTTCGGCTTTTGGAAAGCCAAACAAGTCAGACCTTTCCTGGTTCGCCGAAGGGGAGATTTCTTGCAGCATGCACCACATCACCACGCCGTAGGTCGAGCCTCTTGTTGTATGCGCTGGACGTTCTGTATCACCTATTTTACAGTCGTCTTTGCTTCGTTTGTCGTTATCTGGAGCGTCTTCGACTACGTGCTCGGTGGTAATGATCCGGTAGGCTTGTTCGCTGACATTCACCAAATGTTGAAGCTCGCAGCCTGTGTCCCAAGGTCGCGATTGTTGTTTGCTGTTTGTCAGCAGTACACCGGGGCATAATCTTTAAGACGCCGGCAGCTCCGATTCAAAGATATTTTTTCGCATGGGTGATTGATTACACTCGTTAGGTTGTAGGTCATACACGCATGCCCTGGACAAGGCCATTCGCGGATGCCCGTAAATCAAAACTCGACGCTCAGCTGGTTGGTATGAAGGTAATGTTCGTTACAGATCGCCCAGGTTCCCAAGCTCCAGCGGTGTAGGTCCTGTTGTGGATTTGATTTGATGCACATAGAATAGTCCTTTAGCTGCCGGCAATTCGTCAAGGCTGCGGCTTCTTGAACCTGCATCCCACCCACGCGTTGGTAGGAAAATGTTGCGCCAACGCCTTGCGAAATACCTACAATCACCTTCGGGTTGGTGAATCGGTGATGTTGTGGAAGTTGGGATGGAAAGATTTAAGTCCACCTCCTTTCACCCGGGGTTAGTTACTACCCAGGGCAAGATGCGCGAGTCCTTCAAGGGCTCCCCACGCGTTGGGGATGGGCCCTGCGAGAAACCTATCGACATTTGCACCAACGGAATTGCTCCGTTCTCCCAGTCCCTTGGGTTGTTGTCGTTTCTCACATAAGCGCTATAGTCCACAACAAATGGGGAGCCCGTGGGTATTGGCCCTCAAAGCAGCGCCACAGCAACACGAATGGTGTGAGGAAGCTTTAGGCGTACCTTCGTGGTCCCGGTTTAGCGGTTCCCTGTTCAGCAGGATGCCTTGGTTAGTGGTTCCAAAATTTCGTGGCACGGCTGCACCTCGGTAGTCAAACTGCCACTCCGGATATAGCTGCCAATCTGGTTCAGCGGCGATGCCCGCAATACCAGTCATCACAACTTGTGACGCTATGGACCGCTAAACCGGGACAACGGCAATATGCGGAATATTTGTTGCGCCGTCGCCGGGGGTGAGTAGCGATGATTGAACATGCACAGGCGAGGTACACTTTCGGGAATCTCAGGACATATGATATAGACTGCACCACCATACCCGCTCTGGTAACTTGCAGACGAGATTCCAGCGACGCTAGGACAGCTTGGCAATCTGCAACAGCTCCGTCTCTCTTGGAACAAGCTCAGTGGTGAGTGGTGTCAATGTGAACACAAATGTTTTCCGGACGCGTGGGTGCGAACTATTGTTGAAGATAAAGCTTCGTCGTTGTGATTCGTGTTCAAATTTGGTGGGAAAGCACACCGTGTGCCGGTCGTGACTCACCGCTTACAGCTGGTTTGCTATTTGGTCGACGTGTGTCAGGGTGGCGAGGACTCCTAGCTCCCGTGGGATGGAACCTGTAGCGAACAAGTGGACCCAAAGTCCCTGCGGGAGCGGTAATGAACCCCCCCCAGGTTCTAGAACCCTTCCACCCACGGGTGAAACACTCGAATTTCAGAGTATCACCTACTCACCCTTCCTCTTGGTAAGTGTATGTAGTAGAGGTGCAATCTCGATGACGTGAAGATATCATGTCTTCTTGTTGCTGTTGCTTGAACAGGACACATCCCACATGAGCTAGGAAGCCTGAGCCAGCTTCAGACGCTTGGGCTCCACCACAATCAGCTCACTGGTGAGAAATATGTCAAACATATGTCAAACATGTCACGCATGTTGTAGATCACCTACTAGTCTACGAAGGCATGAGTAATGTAGGTCATCACGTCTTCCTAAACGAAAAAATTACCCTTCAAACGGTCATGCACCGAAGCCGGTGAATCGCAACTCACCGCTCAGCTAAAATAGCTGTGAAACAGACATAGGTGTCGGTAGAGCCCAGCTTTCCGAAATCCGGGGGTATAGGCCCCATGGTAGGACCGTTCAATGCCGGCGGTTCACCGAGTTTGCGGCGTCTAGAAGGTGAGCCCCGCCCTCGCACAGGCAGGGCTCATATGTTAGGGAGCAAATCTTCAAATCTCATCCTCCCTTGCTGGTGAGCTTGTTTTTGTCCAGCCAAAGCTCGTTCGGCTCGCTGAGTGCTCCCAGCGCCTCATTGGCCTACGGGAGGTCTTCAGAAATACACCACCTTTCTCGACGCAATCTTGATCTCAACACCCACTCGCCAACGCGTGAGTGAGGAGACGATTCCTGGTCAGAAGCTTGGACGGATCTCCGACATTCATCTGTTGAAATTCTCAATGACATGTTTCCCCGGCGGTACTCCCATGTGCAGGTCCTATCTTCGAGGCGCTGGGAGATCTCAGCGAGCTGGAGTTTCTGGTGCTCAACGACAACCAGCTAACAGGTAACCTAATATAATAGTGGGCGGACGTACGCGTTTCGGAATTATTTTTGCCGGCTTCTAGCGCAGGTGGCCTGCCAACGCGTGGGTGAGTAGGTCGCGTATTCTTAAGATAGCGGAACTAACTTGTACGAATTGGAAAATACGCAAAAAAGGTAATGCATGCCTCTCAGCGGCAAGCCGTCGTTGTCAAAGCTCCTTCGACGTGCTGAGATCTCCCATCGCGTACGTCCTGCGCAAACTGCGGATGAAACGCTGTTCGCACAAAGTTTTATTCTGCCAGGCAGATCGCCAACGCGTAAGCGGTTGAGATTATATTAACCTGGAAACCGCTCACCGCTGAGCTTGATCGACAGAGAGATAGATCTCCCGCGCTGTCCTAGCGTCCCTGGAATCTTGCCTGTGTGGCTGTAGAATAACGAGTATGGTTTTGTTTACGTCATGTATCTTGTGGTGTCCACCTCAAAGAGCCCAGCTCCTGCGGAGTGAAACTTCGCCAGCAGCCGATAACGTCAAATGCTATCACATTTTCGACTTTTCCCCCCTGTGCTGGGTCATCTGTCTCGCCAATGCGCGTGGGAGAGTGGGTGGTGTTGTTGAAACCAGCGTGGATTTTCAGTCGACTCCCCTCACCCATGAAATGGTTGCTGTTCGAGGCAAAACCGTGACCTCGGCAATGGCTTCAACTTCCTTAGGGATGGATCCTAAGGGCAGCAAGCCGAAAGTTGTTTAACTGCGTTGTGATTCTGAAATATTGTCAGCACACTCGCCACAGCGTTCGTGAGTTGGCGATTGCATGTTTGTATCGAATACCTGCTAGAACGCCGCCGAAAACTTCGCTCGAAGTAGTGCGAAAATGGCAGGCCACCCTTCTCCCCTGCATGTTGGTTCACGCTCAAGCTAGATACTCATGCTCGGTAAGGCAATCCAGCTCCTTGGGCATGACTTGTGGAAGTCACAAAAAAAGACACGGAAAGGTGATGACAGAAATGTTTTCAACAACCGGGGCAGCATATTCAATTTGTAACGCGAGTGTGTCCCGCCCTTGGTCTATTCAGAAGCTCGATCATTTGGTCATTTCATTTGTTTGTTGCCGCCGTGCTGCGTTTTGTAGGGCTTATACCCAAGGAGCTGGGAAACCTACGCGGTCTGGAGCGGCTTTATCTTCATAACAACCAGCTGAGCGGTGAGTTTCATGTTATCCTTTTCTCACTTGAAGTATGCACAGGTGATTGGTGAATTTGTGTCGGGCTCGAGCTCTAGAGCCCATGCACAAATCGATCTCCGTTGATGGTGACCTGCCTGCGAGGGCCGGAGGATTATTGCATATGAGCATCACCAACCTCAATGGGAGTAGACTCGCCATCCAGGCCACCATCTCGCAGCACCAGTATGTCCTTCGAGCAACAAGGTTGCTGGGGATAGACCCTGCTGGAGCAGAGCAGGTAAAGTTTTGAAATGGTCGATGGTGAATCTCGCAGTGCCCAGCATACCTCAACCACCTTTGCTTGAGTGAGACACTACCACTTTAAATGCTTGGCGTTCTGCAGTTCCCAGCAGACTTGGTGACAGTCTTCGGAGTAGCAATGGTGCTCACATTGGCAGTCTTAGACCTTCCTTCGGTAGCAACGAGCAACGCCACAGGGCCGGGTCATCCACCGATATGCTCTGTCTATGTACATCTTCTGTCAGCACCTCCGACCCAGTCCTATTTACTGCGGCATCCCACTTTTTATAAAGTCTCATCATCAACGAGCCGAGGTGCAAGTACGGTCACTGAAACGTTTCAAAACAATTCTTCGTTTATTTCGCTGGTACAAGAGCATACCGTTCGAAACCTTACCGTGTTCCAACTCCTCCAGGCTAGATCCTACCAAACAACGCTTGTCGAAACTGTTCGACATGCGAACATAGTACGAGACACAGACGTAAATTCGTCCCGTGCTAGACTTCGTAGTGCCATCTAGTGTTTAGATCGTTCCTAAAGGAGATTGCTGAGAACACAGCACGCAACCATTGTTGATTTCCTGCTGTTTCTTTAGGCAAGACGGTTTGGATTACACCCCCGGCGTGTGATTTTTTTAGTGGCGCCTTCGCCCACGTCAGAGTAGAATCGGTCGATCTATCCCTGGAGGCCCCGTGCTGAGATTTAGCCGTACGCTTGAGGAAGAATTGCTGGGGAGGTTGCTCGACTCCTACGCCAGCATCAAATACGTTCTGGATCTTGCTGCAGCGTGACACAAGCTGAGTTGTTGATCTTTCAGTGCAGTAGTAGGGTGCATCCATCTCTCTGCTGCTCTACCGCTCGCAGCGCAAACATGCATGCGTACGGAAGCGCTAGTCAAAGATGTGGTTGTCCACCGTGCAAGTAAGCTGTGTGTGTTTCAAAACCTTGTGTTGGTTTGGTGGCTGATTAACCCTGCCGGGTGAATGGACGATCGCGTATGGCGTCAAATGAGCTGTGTGCAAGTGGGGTATCGTTCCACGTGGTGGTCAAAAATACACGAAACGAGTCTCCGAGGAGCGAAAATACGTAGGAATCAGGATGAATGCTGTGCCACGGGCTACTGTCGGAATTCAGTTCCTCACGTCTTTTCATGCAGTCACGGATGTTTGAGGCGGATGTATTAGCCTGAATCTCGAAAAAGGTGCGTGCGGGTCTACAAACCCAACCATTTTCGTTAACCCGAAGGCGTCGTGGCAATGTTCGTTCTGACGCCGAACTGCGAAGCTGCAGAAGTAAACACGTCAAGTTCTGACTTGAACCTTGGATGGAAAACGCGCGACTCAGTTTCCTCTTGTTCTGCCCTGCTGGTTGTACTACGTACACAGCTTAATAGGCGCCTAAACAAAGGGGTTGGCGTGTGTTCAGCGTGCTGAAGTCAGATACCTCTCAGCGCCATTATATTGTGATCGTGACAGCATCATGAATAAGTTTGTGTCCCCCACGTAGTTTTTGAAACATTATGCAGGAAACGCCTTGCCAAGTATTTGTCTTGGTATTCCGGTCAGGTCCTCCTTTGAGCATCATGGTAAAAATACCTCTGAACACATGTTCCTTGGACAAGGACGCCCCGCAGGTGGCGAGCCGAGTTCAGGAGCCTTGTACATCGGTGCGGGAAACGGGTTTGCAATGGGTGTATACCGCTACCATTTGCAGCCCTTGCATGCCTCGCTCAAATACTCTCATCCCCGCGAACCCCGAGGGCACCAACCCTCCCAACCCCACGAAGATAAATCTGCGGAGAACCAGGCACTCGCGTGAAATGGCAGCTGAACCGCTCGCTTGCTTGTTGCAACGAACAGGACCGATTCCGCTCGAGTTACAGAAGCTCCCGCACTTTGGTAAGTTCATCACAGGGATTGCATTGAATGGGCCCCCTCTGCCTGCCGTCAGAGACCCTCTCCATGCATTCAAGATCCTGATAGTACCAGTCATCCTTGGGTACGCTGACTTGGCTTCGGATCTCTACACTGCCGTATCTTACTACGAGGCAAAGCACTTTGTTTGGTTTGGACTTGGGCTCTTCTTCGCCTTGGGGCCGGCTGTCATCATGTCCGCGTTCTGTCTCTCCGGCGTTGGGTGGTTCCGTCGTTTCTTGGTGGCGACCCAGTTGAGCTTGCTAGCCGAAGCCTTGATTACTCTTCAAAAGGCGGACTACTCACCAGTCCTAGCGCTTGTGCGCGTCATTGGGCCACTTTTTGAATCGGTGCCCCAGTTGTTGCTCCAGCTGCATGCAATGCTTTGGCTTTGGACCGAGACATCGTTCGCCTCTAGCCGCTTGGCATGGCGTGTAGTCTCCGTGTGCATCTCGGCGGCCAGCCTGGCCTATGCGGCCACCGATGTCTCCAGCGTAGAGAGGCTTTCGACTTGCGATGGCGGTATGGATGGTGAGAGATTCAGGCTTTGCCCATGCTTTCCGTCCCTGACGGGAGTAGTGTTCAGTCGGGTGCCAGCGGAAGGAACCTCCAGCTTGAGAGGGGTGGGCGACGTGCATCCGCGCAGTCACGTGTGGCTCTGCCTCGTGTACCACGTCCTCGAGATTTTTGCTCGCTTCGTCCCCCTGGCCATGCTAGTGCAAGTGGTACGCGGCTGGTTTTTCTTTGTGTTGGTGTATCTGTGGGTAGGCCGGGGCTTGATAGTGTGGATGACAGCCAGAGAAGTCCTGGGGTTTCGATTTTGGGTGAGGCTGGTAGCCATGCCCTTCTTGGACTCCATCATGGACGAGACGACAGCGTTTGGAATTGGCCTGGTCTTGACGCTTGTGGAGTTCATCGTGTGCATGGTGATTTACCACGTGTACATGAACGATGACCTTCCCTCCCGCGCGAGGTTAGTGTTGGTCACAGTAGCTAGCTGCTGCATGGTCGGCAAGATGTGCTTGGCGTGGGTAGCCATATCCCCGCTGAAGGTGGATGGGCATTATTCTGAGAGTCAAGGTGACAGTGTTCTTGGAGATGGACGAGGCAGCGCCGTGACGGACGGATCTGTAGCAGACGTGGAGATGTCGGCAGTTGAGGACAGTAAGGTTGGGGACGGAGCAGAGGCGAGCGTGACTTCTGAGGCCGCATCTCCGCACGGAGAAGACGGGCCATCCGCCACCTCTGCCGTTTCGACGGGTTCTGAAATACGCAGCCCGGGAGATGTCCAAGTAGAGGATGAAACGGATGGTGTCGAGGCGGACGAGTTCGAACAAGGGTCGGATTTGACGAGAATGGAAGATGGTGTGGTCGAGGATGGGTCCAAGGCTGCAGGAGGTTCTGAAGTATGACCTCCTGAGGGAGCGCATCTTTCACCCGCAACGCATGCTTTGTCAACGATCTCGACAGTAGGTGACCCTGAGGATGCTAAGGTGGAAGATGGCTTGTATCTAGGTGTCGCGGTGGCGGATGGATCGGTAGCAGGACTGAGTGTGACTGATGACCATGGACAGCGGTAGGTTGAGGGCGGAGCCATGGAAGGAGCATTCGGTGAGCCAGCTCGGTCGGAATGAGCATGACTTCCACACGCTCGAATGCGCTACCCACCGGTTCAGTATAGAGATCAAACGTAGGGTGTATTGTCTCTGTCTTAGGCTGAATGGCGCACCAATAAGTGTCGTTACGTTGTTCCGCGCGCAACCGATGCTCGGATGCAAAGGGCAAAGAGCCGATAGAGGATCAACCATGTTTGGATATGTAGACTGCAAGATCTCTCTTGGGTGGGAGGAATTGTGGTGTTTTGAGCACGGGAGGTGAGGCAAGACAATACAAGTAAGGAAACCAAAACTACTCTGAGCACTAGAATACCACGTCTCGTTGGACCTGTTTTTTTTTCCAGTCCTCCGGTTCTTGTTTGAGGAGGTTGTATCTTTGCCCGCATGTAGGCTGGGCGTCTGAGTGTGCTTCTCTAGTCTGTTATGTGTCTTGCAAGCACACCAACCTTGGGAGATGTGCTGAGAAACCTAGCCTGCTGGAGCGCCAGCAGCGCCAATATCAGCAGCGTTGGTTCGTAAAGCTGTTGTGGTGGGCAGGAAGAACAGGTACCAGTAGCAGCGGTTGAAGCCAGGACGGAGACCTATATTTAGGACGGTGTTGACAGGAAATGAAATCGCGAAAGCGAGAGTATGAGTTTTTCAGTCATGTACAAGTCGCACTCCGCAACAACGTTCGGTTCTCTTTAGTATTGGGTGCACTCATGTGCTTCTACCAGAGTATGAGAAACACGTTGGTACCTCCGGCTGCGAGACAACGCAGCGTGGTTGTCTGGCTGCTCTTTCCAGGTGGCATTTTGATTGTCTCAGTCGGCGAGGTTTCCGTTGTATCGTTTGCCAAGGAGTATGGCTACACAGCAGTTCCCCATTTGCAAAATTGGGGATCTCGTACCACACACTACAGCAGTACTTCGATCTTGCTGTTTTCTTGTAACTGCACGGCGCTAACAGTGTCGGTTATCATGAGTTCCTAAACATCGAGGCAAAACCGTACAATTCTCCGAAGGGCTGAGCACGGACATCCATGATACTCAAGTCTTTCCCACGACAGCAGCAGTAGTGTCTCCCATATCTGAACTAAAGACTACACGTGTTCCTTGGACGAATGTCTCAGAAGACGCCATCATCTGGGTATGTATCAAGATCGTACATGCTTTTGTGCATGAAGTGTGTTCAGTAATGTCTCTCCTACTCTACTCAATGAATTAGCGGAGCGACCCACACACTCTCACAAATTCAGCGCGGAATCGTACGCTCACATGAAGTACGCCTACGTAGCTTGGCACACACCGTGCCTTGCTCTTTGGTCATAATTTTGTTGGCAAATAACAAGACCATCGCAGTGAGGATCGTGTTGTGCGGAAGGTGACAGTCCCGCAGTCCCGCAACATAGTTTGGGGAGGACACAGACTGACACCACTACAAAGCGCTGGTGTTTCACTGTTCAGGTGCTCTACAAAAGGCTAGGTGATGTGTGTCATACAAAACATGAACCACGTTCTGTGCCAGCGAGATCCACGATCCACGATCCAAAATCAAGACGGACCACGATTGGGGGCTCGCTTTGTCTCAGTAGACGGCCCCCCTTAGTTCAACCAAGTGGTCCCGCGTGCGTACTCCTACTCGTACTGCTTCGGTAAAGCGGTTGATATTCAAAGGACCTGCAAGCAAGAGGCAGCGGCGGCTGCCAGGAGGAAGATGACAGGGTCCAGCTGTACACCTCTCAAGATCGTGCTTCGACTGCTGGGGCGGCCAAACCCACTGTAAAGGTGAGTTGCACGCACGCGGAAGACGGAAAAAACACGGCGGAGTGTGCGCCGACAGGCTTGATTGATTGCTACGTAGCGAGGGAGCGTGGAAAGGTTACGAGTTTGCGAGATAGGGAGCACGCTGTCATCTCTGTGAAGGTCGGCGCATTGCTTGACCATTGTGCTCATTGGCTCGTGACCTCTTTTCGTTCTCTCTGTGATTTGTCGCACGCGTTGTTGCTGTTGCTATGCATGTCCATTCGTTCAGAAGGAGAAGAGTGTTGTCCGAGATTCATTTTGCATTATATTCTGTTCTTTCGAATTGTCGGAGACAGAGGCCGGTGCCTTGGCAGTATTATCCCACTGCCAGGGGAAGGCTATTTCCTCTCGTGATATGTAAACGAGGAGAAGAGGGTAGAAAGAGAGAGCGGCCAGAGAGAGCAGAGGGAGAGGAGAGTCGAAGACTCTCCGCTTCTCCTTTCGGCGAATGGCCATGGACTTCGGAAGAGACAAATCTCCGACGGTGCGTTTCCTGTCACTCTCCCAGTGACAAGATACCCCCATGGAGCTATATCTTCCTACACTTTGTATGTGCACTCATGGTTGGTTATACTCCCGACAGGTGTCCTCCACATCACCCCCCCCTCTATGCGCCACAAGTCCATCTGTGCTAAATATGTGCTTTTGGCGGTCAGAGACATGAGTGGCTCATGGAGACACATGTATCGGAGTTAACCTACCTGGTACAACATCATCAACTCGGCCTGATCATCGTACAACGCGTGTTAAAAAACACGGAGTCCTCAGCAGACAGAGTAGTGATAGATGTGGTCCATACTAGTATAGAAAAAAAAACAATTTGAGTACTGGGCTATCATGATGACAGCTAGTGTACTATAATATTTCGCATGATCATGCTCGTGTAGCATGCTATGCTGTGGGGTTGATGAGGGATAAACTTGTAATGAGGTGACCCTCTGGCAAGTTTGTCTATTCATCATAATTAAAATCTTGATGAGCGATACAAGACTTGTAATGAGGTGACCCTCCGGCAAGTCTGTCTATCCATCATACAATAAGATTTCGGTGAGGAATAAACTTGTAATGAGGTGACCCTCTGGCAAGTTTATCTATTCACCCGAAAATATGATCTTGATGAGGGATGAACTTGTAATGAGGTGACCCTCTGGCAAGTTTACCTATTCCTCTAAAATAAGATCTCGATGAGGGATGAGCTTGTGNAGGAATAAACTTGTAATGAGGTGACCCTCTGGCAAGTTTATCTATTCACCCGAAAATATGATCTTGATGAGGGATGAACTTGTAATGAGGTGACCCTCTGGCAAGTTTACCTATTCCTCTAAAATAAGATCTCGATGAGGGATGAGCTTGTGATGAGGTGACCCTCTGGCAAGCTTATCTATTCATCTAAAATAAGATCTCGATGAGGGATGAGCTTGTAATGAGGTGACCCTCTGGCAAGCTTATCTATTCATCAAAAATACGATCTTGGGATAACGGTGGTTTAGTTCAACTCTCCTCGTGAGTGCTTCCCCAAACACTTAAAAAAATAGGTTGTTTCCAATGGATACAACCAACCACCGTGGCTACTGGTCCCAAGCGTCGGAACAGATAGATATGGCAACTGTTAGGAACGACAGAATAACTCAATCGTTTAATTTCCGGGCCCTAAATCGTTTTCGGTTGCTCGTACGGCAGGGTAATTGGGTATTACTCTGTGTCATAGCAGAACGCGATTTGGGTACTGGAACCTCCTTTAGGTGCCTTCGTCGTTTCCTGGTTTTGTTCAATGGCTCAGGGCCACTTTGCGTAACCAATTTTCGACTTGAAGGTTCTTGAGGAGTAGTTGCCTGTTTTCGTTTTCGTTTCCCTGTTTTACTGGGTGGTTTTGGGTCTCCCTGTTCTACTGGGGCACGAGACGAAGATTTATCAGACTGCACGATGTCCAAACCACAGCGGATTCGGTAGGCAGTTATCGTCCCTTGACATTGTGGAATTTCGTCTGCTCTATATTCAAGGTCTGACTCAGGGCCATATCCTCGAAGACGCAAACGATACTTGTAGTTTGATGGGGTTTTGGGACCCCTACCACTCTTATGGCTTACCACTATATCAATGACGTGTGATTCAATTTTCGGTTGAGCTTCGTCGGGATGGTCTAGCTCGGGCAACGGAATCTGGCGTCCTAAGAAAAACTCGGAAAGTTTATCAAA